AAAGGCCCACACTCGGTTTGCGAATGCACAGACAATGGAGAAGTCATTTCAACAAACAGTACATCCATGGACAGTTGGACCCAAGAGGTGATACAGTGGGATGTGCCTCGTATCAGTGTCATCTGAAAGGCTGTGAACTCACTGCAGCAGTGTATCAGCTAAAGGTTGAAGTCCCCATTTGGCTAACCTTCCAGAGACACCTGTAACGCCCCACTGAGGAAGCACACTGGAAATGTGCGATTGATTGTGAGATTGGTCGCCAAAGTTAATGATTTTAAAAAGTAAGCAAAGATTCCTCTATTTACCTGACTTTCAGACCCAGGTTCTCAGAAAGCATTGACCACATTTTTATACTGAAGAAAAACTTAGAATCTACAGGGAAATGATTATGAACCATTAGCATATAACTCTATTAATTAAAACTGTCATCGCCTTAAAATGTTCCCCTTACACACACACACACACATACACGCATGCACACACACGTGCACATGGACACGCACGCACATACACACATGTGCACACACATACACACACACACACGTACACATATACACTTGCACACACGGACACATGCACACACGGACACAGACACACGCGCACATAGACTCACACAGACACATACGTGCATCTTTATACTTGGCAAAGCAGTTCAGACGTCTTTGTTCAAAGGATCTGATGAAATGGTTCTTGTGCTAATCAGAACACTACTTCTTCCTTTTCCAGAGGTGTTTGCTCTGGTTTGGCCAGTTCATGTGTATAAGAGGTCTTTCACTTATTAAGTAAAAGCTTGCAGTAATTGCTGGAAGGAAAATAAAATTAGATTTCTGTAGATTTAAGTATTTTTACTGGAGAGAACATAACAAAAAGATCCTCAGTTAAGAAGTCTGAAGGCTTCTCTCTGTTTTGTTCTGCAAAATGGTATTATCGCTGGACTATTAATCCAGACACTCAGATAATGTCCTGGGGACCTGGGTTCAAACCCTGCCATGGCAGATGATGGAATTTGAATTCAATAAATATCTGGAATTAAGAGTCTCATGATGACCATGAATCCATTGTCAATTGTTGGAAAAAGTCCATCTGGTTCATTATCATCCTGCCATCCTTACCTGGCCTGACCTACATGTAACTCCAGCCCACATCAATGTAGTTGACTTTTAACTGCCCTCAGGGCAATTAGGGATGGGCAATGAATGGTGAACTAGCCAGTGATGCCATCATTCAGTGAATAAATTAAAAAAAAAACAGCCCCAAGCTGTTGAGCTACCTGAGAACCAATCACTTGGCTCTTGCCAGGCAGAAGGTCTTTTTCACCAATAACTGTTCTCTAGTCCACAGAGCAGTCAGTTACTTACACCAAATCTTAAATCTTTCTGTACAAACCCTTCAGCTCCACACCTTCTGCAATCACACCTTCACCACTTATCCACAAGCAGCTCTGTAACCAATGCTTACAATGAGCACCAGGTGAATTGCTTTGAAAACATGCAGCAAGCCTTGGTGTTAAAATATTAATTTCTCACAAATTAACAATACAGAAATAAATAAAATATGTTGTTTCACACACCTCAGTCACTGGAAAGTAGTGAGGGGCCATGTTGTGTTGAATGACTGGTGAGGGGAAGATTGTGATTTCTTTTATTCAACCTTGGGGTGTGGGCAACCCTGGCTATGTCAGCATTTAGCTCTCATCCCTAATTGCCCTGGAGAAGACGATGGTGAGCTGCGCTCCTGAACTGCTTCAGTCTTTGGAGTGTCAGGTTGCAACTTAAGGATTCTTTTGAAAGGACTTAGAATGTTTCCAGGAGCTCGACAGCCTTTCTGCAGTGACACAAACATCTCAAACCACTTGAAAAGCAGTGGTGCAAATCTATCTAATATACCCTGGCCCACATAGCACAATACACCAGGAGAAGTTTCAACAGGACTTCTACCAGATGATGTCCACTTTACTCACTAAGGACCATAAAGCAGAAAATCACAGAATCCCTGCAGTGTGGCAGCAGGCCATTCAGCCCATCAAGTCCACACTGACCCACCAAACAGCACCCCATCCCTGTATTCCCCAAAGCTAATTCACTTGACTTGCACATCCCTGCACACTGTGGGCAATTTAGCATGGCCAATCCACCTAACCTGCACATCTTTGGACTGTAGGAGGAAACCGGAGCACCCGGAGGTAACCCACGCAGACACGGGGAGAATGTGCAAACTCCACACAGACAGTCGCTCGAGGGTGGAATCAAACCCAGGTCCCTGGTGCTGTGAGGCAGCAGTGCTAACCACTGAGCCATCGTGCCACCCACAAATTGATTCCTTTCTGCTCTCTATTGGAACCCTCTCTATTGTACTCCTCTATGCTGGACCCCTCTCAGCTGGACTCCCCTCCCCTGATCTTCTCTCCATTGGAACCTTCTCAGTTGGTCCCCTCTCTCTACGGACTCCTCGCTGCTGGTCCCCTCCCTACTGAACTGCTCTCTGTTGGTCCCCTCTCTGCTGATCTCTGATATGGGATCCCTCTCTGTCAGCATCCTTCCTGCTGGTGCTGTGCTGTGACCAGCAGGCTACAGGTACTCAGAATCACAGAAACATTACACACAGAAGCAGACCATTCAGCCCATTATGCCTATACCAATTCTTCAAATGAGCATCATTACCCAGTTGTCAGTCTCCTGCTTTCTCCCCCATACACTTACCCATTAATGCCCCACTTGAATGCCTCCATCACATTTCCAGACAATGCATTCCACACCCAAATGTGGTTCCCATAACTAGACACATTGAACCAGTCCTGACCTGGTGTCCAATCTCATGTAGAAGCAATGGCCCCCATTCTAATATGAGCAAACCTGCACAGTGTAGAAAGTAAACTCTGAGCTGACATGGTGGAACAAACCCTTTCCCAGCAGAAGATAAAGAAGCAGCTACACAGAATACTGAGAGTATTTGTGGCAGGATTCTCATGGAGTGGTGTCTCATGCTGTGCTGACACTTTGACTTTTAACTGGCAATTTCCAGGAGTCTGGAAAACAGGTCGACCACACAATAAAGTCAGCAACAACATGGAGCGCATAACATATGTTCATCAACATCTGTCCAGGAGGTTACACAATCTAAATTGTTGAATAAAATGTAGAGAGTGGATGCAATGGCAGCGTCCCAACCACTGAGTCTAGAACCCCAGGTATAAGTCTCACCTGCTCCGGTCACAACAACTTGGTTAGAAAATATCTCAAATAAAAGGTGGGTTCCATCGGTCTGGTTAATGTACTAACATTGTCTTGGTTTTAACACTTGAGCCACCGCCAAGTACATACACACACTTACTCCAGGTTTAAAACCAAGTCTGTTAGCATTCACACATACTGACAAACAATATAACAGAACATGTAACACCAACATTAAGATCTAATTCTGGTGGAAACACAGGCCTAAATAGAATGTTGTGATCTCTGATCAGTAAATGGGGAAAGAAAAGTGATGTTTGAATATTGAAATGACTATAACCATCAGCATTAGCTCATAGTTCATTCCTCCTGCAAGGTTTCGAATGAGAATGGAATGTTTGATACTTGTAAGGTAATAACCCCCTCTGCAACCTATCTCCCAAAGTTACTTCACCTGACGAAGGAGCATCGCTCCAAAAGCTTATGATTTCAAATAAACCTGTTGGACTATAACCTGGTGTTGTGTTACTTCTGACTTTGTCCACCCCAGTCCAATGTGGGCATTTCTATATCATCCAAAAGTGCCTATTAGTGAGATGGATTCGACATTCAGGCTGGTACAATAACAACATTTAAAAGGCATCTGGGTCGGTACATGAATAAGGGCTATGGGCCAAATGCTGGCAAATGGGACTAGATTAATTTAGGATATTTGGATGATTTAGTTCCATTTGATTGGTGCTGAACAGTTACATTTTTAATATTTGTGATGAAATAATAATCTTAGCTGCTAACTTGATGTATACTGTGAATGAGTAACTATAGGTGGAAAGTAATTGTAAGTAGCAGACTTCTATTGCAATTTTTGTGGCTTTCTGTTTTTTTTTCTGTGCTCCAAATTGGCTAAGAATCAAAATGAGGGTAGGGAATAATGATTATTTATAACTCTAGAGGGAAGTGTTTAGTTACGGGGTATTTTATCCACTAATAGTGCTGTACAACTACCACTTAGAGTAATAGAGATACACAGTAGGGAAACAGGCCCTTCGGTCCAACTCCTCCATGCCGACCAGACTTCTACAAGTACTATGTTGGTTCCTCAGGGGCTGGTGTCAGAACCACTACTAGCTTAAAAATTTATAAGCAACTTGGACATCATTTCAGGAGCAGGAAGGTGGGACTAGTTTAGATTGGGATTATGGTCGGCATGGACTAGTTGGGCCCAAGGGTCTGTTTCGTGCTGTACGATTCTATAGGGAATGAGCTGTCAGAGGAAGTGGTGGAGGCTGGTACAATTACAACATTTAAAAGGCAAATGGGTAAATGAAAAAGGAAAGGTTTAAAGGGATATGGGCCAAATGCCGGCAAATGAGACTAGATTAATTTAGGATATCGGGTCAGCATGGACAAGTTGAACCGAAAGGTCTGTTTCCATGCTGTACATCTCTATGACTCTATGTGTTGGACAGGAAGGTCTGTTTCCGTGCTGTACATGTCTATGATTCTATTGAGATTAGAGAGATCCAGCTACTAAATGTTTCTTTGCTATATGGTCACTTGTTTTTGAATTCTCTTTTTATTCCTATCTCCGTAAATTTTTTATTTTTCCCCCATTGGCCAGGTTCTTTCACAAAATAAAACTCACACTTTCACAATTCCTCATTCATAAAGGGGCTTGGTATGGTTTTACTCTGAAATGATAATTCCCATATGTCAGATGGCCGGGCTGAAAGTGCGTGTTTAAAGAAGAGGGAGTGCCCAGGGAAAGGGGGCTGGGCATGTGAATTCTCAGTGAATTTTTTGCACTGGCAAGCAGGAGAGCAGGTGACCGACTGTCAGAGGGAGGCAGCGGTATTTCTACACAATGTGGTTTACAGTGGAAAATGCTGGTGTGTCCCCTCTCTCCTCCAGGCTGGAAAAAGAGCAGCCTTTCTCCCTTCAGTGTGGGACAGGCACCAAGCAGCTCAGGAAGGCTTGAAAGGGCAGAGGACAAGAGTGAATTTGCCCTGCTCCCTACCCAGACAGGCTAAAGTGAGCGGCAGACAGTGATGAAAACCAGCAGAAAGTGCCGGGCGCTGATGGCAGTCTCTTTAAACCTAGTGGCACTGCTTTTCTCTACCACCGCCTTCATTACCACGTACTGGTGCGAGGGTACTCAGAAAGTGCCCAAACCCAATTGCAACAAGGAGACCAAATCCAACTGCATCAACTTGAACCGCACCGGAGCCGTGAACAGTTCCAAACCCGACCAGGTTCACTACAGCTGGGATAAGGGCGATGATCGGTTTGTCTTCCGTTATTTCCACACCGGCATATGGTACTCCTGTGAAGAAAACCTCAGTGGTATCGGTGAGTGTGTGCTAACCCTGGCCCAACTCCCCATCCCCGGGAGAGATCCGAGAAATTGTAGAGAAATAGCCCAAATAGCAGGTTCCACCCTGCCTTGTGCTCTGTTTGAGAAGTCAGGGTTGTTGAGACCCACTGTTGCAAGTGGGAAATTACCGAGAGGTAGCAGGTTTATTTCTAACGGGGTGAACGTTTGAGTACCTGGACTGCAATACAGCGATAACAAGCCACTGATTTAAGACTCCGAACAAGAATTCCGGACTGGAGCATCTGACGAATCGAAACTTGAATGAAACAGCATGAGCAGGCAGCATTCTATCACTGACTCGCTGCTTTAGTCAAAAACAGTTCACCCTCCGGACAAACTGTAATATTGCCTTCTTTATTCCCCCCATAAATAGTCCAACAGTTTCCTGAATTATAACTGTGACCTGGGTTTTGCACAGTTGATATTCCCCCGGATTGTGACGGTGGTTTATTTAACGAGTAAGGTTTAAGGCATTCCTGCTCACAGTTTGTACAGTTGGCACAAAGTTTATATCACGGAGAGAAACGAGCTAGAGATTATTCTGTCAGCTTGGTGGTTTGGTTGGATTTAGATCTTGAATTTGCAAATTTGCTAGTTTCAACACACATCCTACATCCCTCAGGAAATAAGTTTGGATAGAAATCGCTGCCTGGCACAAAAAAGACCAGTACTTTTCATTTATCACAAACTCCTCCACTGGCTGGCATTCTGCCATATCCCTCACATAGGAATTGAACAAGGCAAAATGGTTTTCCAGTTATTATTGCACTCATTAGGCTATTTCTGGCCACATTGAAAGGTGAATGAATTATTTCATTCTGTTCTGACGGGGGGACATAGGGAGCTTTTCTATTGAAGAGTATTTTGAATGATGGTGATGGACAATTAAATATCTGATGGGAAGAGGAAGTTCCATAAATATTCCCATCTGGAAAAACAGTGGGTTCAGAAAGTGAGTACAAAAGATAACACTAAAGTGTTTACAGTCACAGAGTCATACAGCTCAGAAACAGACTCTTCGGTCCAACCAGTCCATGCCAACCACAATCCCAAACTAAACTGGTCCCATCTGCCTGCTCCTGGCCTATATCCCTCCAAACCTTAGATAACAAGGTGTAGAGCTGGATGAATACAGCAGGCCAAGCAGCATCAGAAGAGCAGGAAAGCTGACATTTCAGGTCTAGACCCTTCTTCAGAAATCTCAAACCTTTCCTATTCATGTACTTATCCAAATGTTAAATGTTGTAATTGTGCCTACATCCACCGCTTCCTCAGGAAGTTCATTTGACATGCAAAACATCCACCTGCGTGAAAAATTTGCCCCTCATGTCTTTTTTAAAAATCTTTCTCCTCTCATTTCTAAAATGTGCCCTCTAGTGTTGAAATCCCACAATCCTAGGGAAAGGACACCTAGCATTAACCCAATCTATACACCTCATGATTTTATAAACTCCCGAAAGGTCACCTCTCAACCTCTTACGCTCCAGTGAAAGAAGTCCCAGACTTTCCAGCCTTTCTTTATAGCTCAAATGTTCCATAATCTTCAGTGAAGGAATGGTTAGTAAGTTTGCAGATGGCACCAAAATAGTTGGGATGGTGGACAGTGAAGAAAGTTATCTCAGAGTACAACGGGACCTTGAACAGATGTGCTGATGGACTGAGGAGTGGCAGGTGGGGTTTAATTTAGATGAAAGTGTTGCATTTTGGTGTTGCATTTTGGAAAGGCAAATCAGGGCAGGACTTATACAATTAATGGTAAGGTCCTGGGGAGTGTTGCCAAACAAAGAGAGAAAGGGATGCAGGTTCATAGCTCCTTGAAAGTGGAGTCACAGGCAGACGGGATAGTGAAGAAGGCATTTCGTACACTTGCCTTTATTGGTCAGTGCATTGAGTATAGGAGATGGGAGGTCATGTTGCGGCTGTACAGGACATTGGTTGGGCCACTTTTGGAATACTGCATTCAATTCTAGTCTCCCTGCTATAGGAAAGATGTTGTAAAACTTCAAAGGGTTCAGAAAAGATTTCCAAAGATGTTGCCAGGGTTGGAGGATTTGAGCTATAGGGAGACGCTGAATAGGCTGGGGCTATTTTTCCCTGGAGCGTCGGAGGATGAGCGGTGACATTACAGAGGTTCATAAAATCATGAAGGGCATGGATATGGTGAATAGCCAAGTTCTTTTTCCCCAGGGTGGGGGAGTCCAAAACTAGAGGGTATAGGTTTAAGTTGAAAGGGGAAAGATTTAAAAGGAACCTGAGGAGAAAATGTTTCACACAGTGGGTGGAAAGTGTTTTAAATGAGCTGCCAATGGAAGTGGTGGAGGCATTTAAGAGGCATCTGGATGGGTATATGAATTGGAAGGGTTTTGTGGGTTAAATGCTGGCAAATGGGACTAGGTTAATTTAGGATATCTGTTCAGCGTGGACAAGCTGGGCCAAAGGGTCTGTTTCCTTGCTGTACACCTGTATGACTCTACATCACTAACTCAGCCTTCTGAGCCACCAGCAACACTGAAATCATTCTTCACTCCATTTGATTCACTTCACATTGTATTGTGACACCTTTGGGTGTACAGGGGATGGAAAACGCTATCGGTCCTGACAAGTTGCCGACAGAAGCACAGCATTGTTATGGCTGTGAGGAGGTCATTTGGCCCATTGTCCCTAAACCAGTTCATTAAATGAGCATCATTACCCAGTGCCAATCTCCTGTCTTTTCCCCCCAGATCTGAATAATGCAGGGTTACAGGGATGGGGCTGAGAACAGTATCTGTGTGGGATGCCTTTTGGAGGGTTAGTGTGGACTCAATGGGTCAAGTGGGTCAAGCACAGATCAGGTTTGTGATGGAATACTGTCCATTTGCCTGGATGAGTGTGGCATCAAGAACATGCAAGAAACCCAACACCATCCAGAGCAAAGAAACCTATTTGATTAGCATCCATTCATCAACTTAAACATTCACTCCCTCCACTGTCTAGGCACAGTGGTTGTTGTCTGTACCAGCTATAAGGTGTACTAGAGTAATTCACTTAGGTTCCTTCAATAGTGCCTTCTAAACCTCTGACCTCTACCACCCAGAGACAAGAGCAGCAAATGTATGGACATACTACCAATCGCAAGTCCTCCTCCAAGGCACACAGCATCCTGACTTGGAAGTATGTTCTCATTCCTTCACTGTCACTGGCTTGAAATCCACGGAACTTCCTCCTTAACAGCACCGTAGGTGTACTAGCGCCCCAAAGGCTGCAGTGGTTCTAACCCTAACCCTAGCCCATCTTCGCCAAGGCTATCATTGACTGGCAACAAATGCTGACCTAGCCAGCAATGCCCACAAACCATGAACAAGCTTGAAAAATCTCCCTTTCCTGTGAAAAATCTGATATCACTTCAATCGTATTGTAGCAAAGATTTGCAACATGTTCCCTTCTTGTCAGATTGATATGATACTTATCATTGAATCTGGTATGGTCTGTTCCCTTGTCAAAACTAAAACTCTCTCGGTTATATTGTCTAAATTCATTGCCGTTACCACGTTAGCTGTTCTGCTTCTAAAAATAAAATCTCCCATTATAACAGCAGTGTTTTTGTCATATGCATGCACCTGGTGTAATTGAGAGCAACTAATGTTAATTGGAAAATAAGATGGAAATGATGCAATTGGTCCATCCTCACCTTGTTTAGTGTAAAATGGAACTGGTTTAGATGGGTACCATGATGTTTTACTGGTGTTCCCACTGAGAAGAGCATAGTTGGTAGGCTGCACTGTGGCCTGTAAATTACAGACTAACTCCTTTAGATGAATGTTTGAGATTAACAATGTGGTTTGGTTAAAATGATGCTTGAGTAGAGTGGGAGGTGGGTAAAGGCAGAATAGTTGGCTTGGGTTTGAGAAGGTTTGTCAGGATAAAAGGCTCATCCAGTTGGGACAGGGAGCTGGATGGGATAAACCGGGTTGGGTGGGGTGTGGCTGGTGTGTGAGTGGGGTCAGTGGTCAGAGTTGTGTAGAGAGTTCAATCGGGTCATGGAATCAAAGGTTCAGGTGTGTGTCAGAGGGTCATGGAAGAATCGGAGGGGAGAGGCAAGTTAGATGTCAGGGGTAGACGGAGAGGGGTAAGGTAGACAGAAAAGATTAGGTGTTAGGGATTTGTTGGGAGTGGAAGGGAGAAGTGAGGGAAAGTCGCCAGGTGGTCAGAGAGAATCTAGCTCGGTGATGGAGGCTTTGGAGGAAGTTTTCAAAAAGCATGAAAATTGTCGGAAGTTTCAACTTCCCAGGCAATTCTCAGGGAGTCAATCTGTTGGACCTCTGTGGGGTTTTGATATGCATGTCTGGACATTTGTCTAGTCTTCAACTATCAGCAGAGAAAGGTCAATGACCAATGTCTGGAAAACAGAGTACTTTTCTGTAGAAACCTTTTCTTACTGTTCCAGAGACGAAGACTGCATTGAAAAATGTCCAATAAAGTTTCAGCAGCCTTTTTAAAATCAGTCAAATGCTATGTGCATCATGTTCTAATCACAAATAACTCTAAAAATGGCTATGTTCCAGCTTAACAAAACTCAAAGCTAAAGCCTTGTATAATTTAATTTTTTTTTCAGGTAGCTACAAATCACTTTCTGCACAATACTGTTGTGTATCTGAAAGTGAAAGACAGTGTGATATTATCTCCACTGAGTGATAGCGATGTAAAAATAAGCATTTGGGTAATATTTATTTTTATTATTCATGGAATGTGGCAATGCTGGCTCAGAGTCATAGAGTTATACAGCACAGAAACAAGCCCTTTGCTTGAGCTTTGCTAAACAGATATCCTAAATTGATCTGGTCCCATTTACCAGCATTTGCCAACTTGGTCAGTATCTATTGCCTACACTTAATTGCCCCTTGGAAAAGTGGTGATGAGCTACCTGATTGTTCTGCTGTCAGGTAAGTGCACCCATACTATTATAAGGAATGAATCCCAGGATCAAAACCCAGTG